GTCATCTCCAAATTCTTGATATCATCCTTCAAGCTGAATAACAGAAATTTCCTGAAACTATTAAACTTTATTTACACAGAAACCAGGAACATTTTAAAAAGTTCTGCCAACAGTACTACTGTATAGCACCAAAGGATACTCCGCTTTTACAGCCTTAAATCATAGAATTTACCTTTGAGAAAATGGAAAATTAAAACACACTGTACATACCTTGATTCTGTACGTTTCTTTTTTTTTCTGAAGTTAAAAACTAAGGCTAGATTATAATTGATTCTATATTTGTACTCTCTGGCATCTAATACTTCAATCACTTCACTAAAGTGATTAGGACTCAGAATCAGTTTATCATCACTTGAGGTTTTAGAGGTGAAGTCACAGAAGATAAAAAGGGGTTTGTTTTCAGTTCAGGGGATATAAAAAACCAGAGCAAAAGTTATGACATTAACACATTTTAGTTTTTAGTATTGACAACTATGTCTCTTGAGAAAATTAAAACCAAGAAATGAGATATTATTAATATTAAAACGTTTGAGGCAGTTATTTTCTTTTAACATGTAAAAATTAATACACATAAAAAAAGAGGCAAGAACTTTTTTTGTCTCTGCTTTGAGTAACAACTATTTCATAATTAGTTCTTGTTATTACTAAATGTACTTTTAATTGATTAACATAATTGTCTGTTCATGGCTAGTTCTGTGATTACTGAATGTAGTGATAAATGAAAAGCATTATTATCTGTTCATGACTAGTTCTTCTGTGATTACTTAATGTTCTGATAAATGAACAGCATTATTGTTTGTTCATGACTAGTTCTTCTGTGATTATTTAATGTACTGATAAATGAACAGCATTATTATCTGTTCATGACTAGTTCTTCTGTGATTACTTAATGTTCTGATAAATGAACAGCATTATTATCTGTTCATGACTAGTTCTTCTGTGATTATTTAATGTACTGATAAATGAACAGCATTATTGTCTGTTCATGACTAGTTCTTCTGTGATTACTTAATGTACTGATAAATGAACAGCATTATTGTTTGTTCATGACTAATTCTTTTAGTTAAAGTTCATTTGGATAAAAATGATTACACATTAGAAATGAGTTCTATGGTGAACAGCATTACAAGCTACTACAATAGAGGTTATGAACTGGAAGTGCACATACAAGGAAAACATGAAAGGTGATTCTATTTCTTCTTCCAGCAAAACAGTTCATTGTTTAATCTGGTTTATACCACAACAATCTTTCTTCATGAAAACTGATGACATATATATAGCACCTAGACCATTACCTACATCTGTTTTATACCAGCTGGCCTAATGAGCCCTGGTATTGAGTGAAAGGCCTCATCAGTACTGAATACAGAAGATGTAGTGTGGTTGGCATATTAGAACATATTTTCCTCTGTTTTCACTCATGGGTTCATAGAATTACTCTACTGTTTCTTCTCTCTGACTCTTTATGTATATACACCCATACATACCTGTACAAACAAATTAGAACCACCCTCCTACAGCTGTACGTTAAAAAACTTAAAATAGCTTGATTTTGCTATTGTCAGAACTACAGATCAAAAAAAGAAAACTACCTATGTTCAAGTTAACAAAAAGATAGAAAACCATACTTACATAGACTGTTTCCAACATTCAGTGTTTATAACAATAATTAAATATTTAGACTTTAAGATATTTAGGAATTTTTATTCAATATTTGTATGATAAAATATGCAAGTCCCAGATATTCACAGAGTTATGTTTCTTTGTAACTTGCACATTTGGACACATTTAATTAACGAGGCTGTTTAAGTTCTAAACATAAAACATTAATGTCACACTTAAAGCAAATACATAAGCACTAGATGAGAATTTTAATCATTTTTTTAAAAAAATATTGGATATTCTAATATTTTCTAGTAATAAAGTCTACTCAATATAATGAGAAACACCATTTTCATTGCTGTACCAGTTTTCAAAACACACTACTTACTATCTAAAAAAGTTAAAAAAAATTAAAATCATCATTAGACTCCATTATCAGACTCTAAAGTTAAGTATTCAATACTTCTAACAAACTTTAATCTGGAAACAAAAATAAAAATAATTTCAGTTAACTTTCATAAGCCACAAAAAATGCTACCAGTCTTCCCATTTGCAGGAGCAATTTTATCATAGCAACATATTATTAAAGTTGGTGGAAAATTGTTCTTTAACACAATGTGATCAAATTCCTTGGAAAATACTGGTGTGAAATCCACAGTAAGCTCTATATTGAATTTGGATGATAAAACTAAGTAATTATAATTGTTTAATGAGAAGACATCAGAACCTTTTACTTATTTTCAAATTAATGTTTGTAGAACCTTCTCTTTCAAAATGGTTATTGAGTTCATATCATCCAATTCCAGTTTTGTTTTCTAATATCAGAATGTGTTATTACTAATATGTTTAGTGACTAACAAACTTAACAAAGTTTT